ATATATATATATATATATATACACACACACACACACACACGTTTAGACGAAAAACTTGGAAAAAAAACTTGTTGTTGCCTTGGCAACTAACTGAAATACATTAAAGTTCTAACTTACAAAAATAAAATTTTAACTGAAATAAAAATATTACTAAAAAATATTAAAACGTATAAACTAAAATTAAAACAAATATATATGGCACCTCTGTGATTGCCCAAGAGCTCACATTGAGTAACACTGACCTTTTCTCTATTTCCACTCTTTTTAGGGACAAACAGAGGTTGATGACTGCTGTGTCCATGTTTCTAGAAATAGTGCAGAAGAATGATTTCCCACAGTTCCTTACCACATACCTTAACCTGGACCACACTTTCCTCAGCTCTCAGAGCCAACATGAGAACCGACAGACAGACGCGGCGCCCAAAGCCAGACTCTAACAAGTCTAAATTACTTAATCACAAACAAAATATTACATCCACGAACGCTTGTTGTCTTAACATGTGAATACATGAAAGATGGTTTATAATGTCTAAAAAGGATAGGAAATTTACCTATAGCACAGTGGTTCTCAACCAGGAGACCTAATGATGACTTATAAGCCGAAACAACTTTAAATCAATCAAGATAAGAAAAAAAAAACTGGTTATATGAGGAAGCGTAATTAATAAAAGGGAAAGGAAAAAAGATATTTAGACCTGGAAAAATAAGAGAAATTAATACATTTGTAAAACTAATGACTAATAACTACAAGCTATGGCAGTTCTAAAATATTTACAGGGTAGAAATTCTGAGTACAAAATTCTTATCCTTAATTTTTATCCAGGTAATCACAAACAACTGGAAAAATCTGAATATTGGGCATGGATTAAAATGTTGAGAACCACTACTATTGCACAGGAATCAAGGCTGTAATACATTTGAATATATTTTAAAGTCATCTTATTGATAAATAACCAATAAAAGTAAAGCCCAAATGAGTAAAGTAAAAATAAATATTTATAAAAGGTACAAATTCTAGCTCTTTTCACCAGCAAATGTTTGGTTTAACTTTAGCAAAACCCCTGCAAATTCTTGAGTTCTGTATTTTCTAAAAGATGAAACTGTTACATCATACAGTGTAACCAAAACCAAATGTGGAAATTAAAAAACAAAATACATCACAGTCATGTTATTTTGTTTTATTTGTAACTGTGTGTGTGTCAAATGACAGAACATGTTCTCAGAATTCAGACAGTGGTATGTTTGATGGAGTCCTGTATTATGGGGGGAAAAAATCATAAACAGAAAGCAGAAAGTTTGAAACCAACATGAGACACCAAACAATGAGTGGGAGAAAAAAATAAAAGATGCCAAACAAACCCAACAGAAACAGTCACAGTAAAAGTCATACAGGTCCAACAGATGCCACTGCTGCCTCTAAGACATTCACTGGAAAACCGAAAGGCAGCAGAGGATGAAAGAGAAAAAATAATAAAATAAAGAGATGCACGTCTGCCTCTCATCGGCACTCCAGGTGACCTTTCAATCGACTGTTTTCAGCTTATTGGCTGAACATCAGTGTCTCCTCCCAGCAGACATGGTGGGTTTTCACTGCTGGCTCCCCCTGGTGGCTGATCCTGGAACAGTTTCTGCCCAGCCACATTAATTCAGTGCCACACACTCCCCACACCCCCAACCCCCCTTCCCACGTACCCTCAGGTGCCGTCATCTGCATCTAAAGGTCCGCCCCACAGGTTTGGCACACGACAAACCAGGACCAAAAGTATTGCTCCTCCTGATATTATTCGGTTCTTTTTAATATTATCTTATATAAATTACTCTTAAAAACATGTTAAGCAAGATGCATGTGTCAGATAAACAGGAATTAGGCCCAATGAGTTCACTGTGACCATCTTGATCAATCTTTCTCTTTAATACCGTGTATTCTGTTCTAGCATAAGAGACGCCATTGGCTTTTTTGTTTATTTATTTTTTTAAAAAAAAAGCAAAACAAGATAGAAAGGAGAAAAAAAAAATTTGTAAAACAGGTTTTTCCCCTATTGCTCGCTCGCTTCCGTGAGTAGAAAAGAAGGTAGCCATGGTCTCGTTAGTGCAGTAGAGTCTCAACCTCAGTGGAGCGTCTGGTCTCAAAATGCTGACGCCATAAAACGGCCACCCTGCTCCCTTCCTGAAACGCTCACATCTCATTGGGCATGTCCTCGTGGTCACAGGGGGACAGGTCTCCATTGGTGGTCACCGCAGAGTTGTCCTGGTAACTGGGGGGCATGAAGGCTAAAGCATAGGGATAATAGATACCATGGCAAGCCACACGGTACGATTCGAGAATTTTCTCCTGCTGCGAGCCCAGACTGCCGTCCCTTAACGCCTGGAGCACCTCCGTACACGTCTGATATTCACACATACAAATATGAGAGATGTAGCATCATGCTTTTCGTGAGAAATATCACAATTTTATTCGGTTCTGTTTATGGTTATTGTACCTGAATGGTTCTGCCTGTTAGGGACTCGTTCAAGGAGGTAGCCAGCTCGGCAGCCATCCCCTCAGAGGAGGGGTCCAGAAAGACCATCATCTTAGCAGCTGCATACAACAAAAAGGTAAGATGCTAAATGAACAGCTAAAAGAATGTAGTGGTACACTCGTGCTAAAGGGTTTCACAGCAACAAAGCAATCAGAAGTCATTAATATCTGGTCACTTGAGTGAAAGTGGCCATTGATGTAGTTCAAATTTATGAGCAGCAATGTGATTGAACAACCACCAAAGAGACTGCAGACAGTGATCTGCTTTCTGAAATGGTCTGATACAGGAACCCAGTAAAAACACCAAAGAGCAACTAACAGTACAGTGAGACTGTGACCTCTAGTGACTTAATTGTTTCAAATGTGACCAAACCTTTAATGGTGGAATCCTTTAATCTCTTGATTAAATGACTGGGTAATATTTTATGCAAAAATAGCTATTAAAATTCAAATAAATAAGATCTTGCATAATGAAAACAAGGGCATGGAATGAAACGTTTAAGCAACAAGAACGGTTTGGCCCGATGGTGGGAAAGCGGCTTTAGAATTGAATCACAAATATGACTCAGTCTTCATGAGATATATATTGACTGTTGTCAATCTCCTCTACTCTATGAAGAGTCTATGGTGGTTTTCAAAAGTTCTTTAACATCATAAAGTGGGTACCTGCAACTCTATGTGGTATTGAGTTCGCATGTTTGCTCAGGAAGTTCTTGTTGAAAGTCTTGGGATCACTCTCGCCAAACAGTTTTGTGATCTCCAGCTTCAGAACCGTCTGCACTGCCTCCGGCATGTCCTTACTATCCGACACTGAAAACAGACACAGATCTTATTGTTCCTGTATCTTTTTTGTTCCATGTGAGGAAACGATATGTGCCTTTATGTACCTCCTTTGAAGAATCGCACCAAACACTGGTGGAGCCAGGGGTGATCGGGGTCCAATGAGTAAGCTCTCTTCACCGACTGCAGCATCAATAGATACTTCTCTACAAACACAAATTATGAGTTTTAAATCCCACATCCTGAAACATTATGAATCACTATGTTCAAGTTCATCAGTATGCTCACCTTTCCTGAGGTAGATCTCAAAGGCCAGCAGATGCGTGTCTATTTTATTCTTTACTAAGTTCTTGAGTGGAGTCAGGAACTTAACCGCTTCTTCTAGAGGATTCTCAACCTACAGACAGAAACAGCACATTCTGATGAACAGAATCAAAATATTTTATCCTGTAAAGTACAAATGGTTTTGTCAACATACACACCTTGGCCAGTTTTTCTGGTATGAGCTCCTCTTTAGGTCCTCCAATCTCCTCCTCATCCTCTTCCTTTTTCTTCTTTTGGTTTTTTAGCTGTTTTTCTTTTTCAGCATTCTTCTTTTCCTCCTCTAACTGGGCTTTCTTTTGGGCACGTCTCTGTTTGTTGCGCAATTTCTTCAGCTCCTTGTCCGTTAGGTTGGCTACAGAATAAAAAATTGTTAAGAAAACAAAACTATATATTTTTTCCAAAAAGCAAGGATGGACCTCTGAAGTTTGAATATGTTTTGTGTGCATGACCATACCATTGTCGGCCTGCGACTCCTTGTTGTCATCGGAGAGCGGGTTATCATGAAGGCTGAGGTAGATCTCGATGGCTGTACGTGCTGCCTTGAAGTAAAAAGGGTGCATACGCAACACGTCCTCTAGATTGAGCAAATCGACGTAAGAACGCAACGTCATCTTCCGCATACAGTATGTGTGGAAGTCGAACTGGTCGTCTGTTATCTCCACAAAATGCTGTTAACAACAAAAGATGAAAGTGATATTTCAGACCATTGGGTATTTATTTATGCTTTAATGCCATGTCAGCAGCAATGGCTATATTCATGGCAAAAACAATTCTATTGCATCACTCAATCAATATCAACCTACAGATATAGCATAGAGCTATTCATATCAGTTTGCGAACTACAGCTAAAATTAACATCTGATAGTATCTAATTCTGCAAGATTTACCCTCTCAATTTCATGGCACTTCTTCAGCGCCTCTCCATATTTGTTCAAGGACTTGTAGGCCAGAGCACACTCCGTCTGGAACCACATGCACTGCATCTCATTCAGATTCTCTACAGCAGAGGTTCCTTCCTGCAGGTGATAGAGATTGGATACATTTAGACTGATGTGTTTTTGATAATGACTCTTGGAAAAATTAATGTGAGAGATTAAAAGGTCATTATGGAAATTGCAGGGCATGTAGTAAGTCCCAAATTTCAATTACAAGGGACAAGTGAATTATTGCTTAAACCGTTAATCTGTCAGTTTTTGCGCAAAAATGTGCTGAAAAAACTGAAAAAGGGTTTTTGGTCAAAGGAGGGAAAAAATGTTACTGCTTTCAATGCTCCAAAAATGTAATGTTAACCAACATTTTACTATTTCAGTCTTTCTGGAGCTGAACATGCAAGCCAAGAAAACGGCTACCAGAGGCAATGCCTCCAAATGAACAGATTTGTCTTTTAAAAGGACTTTATATAGTAACTAAAATAACACACTACCATTCAAAAGTTTGGGGGCAGTAAGATTAAAAAAAAAAAAAAATGTTTTTAAAAGAAGTCTCTTATGCTCATCAAGGCTGCATTTATTTGATCAAAAATGCAACAAAAACCGTAATATTGACTATTAACTGTTTTCAATTTTAATACATTTAAAGGAGACATATTATGCCCCTTTTTACAATATGTAATATAAGTCTCTAGTGTCCCCAGAATGTGTCTGTGACGTTTCAGCTCAAAATACTCCACAGATCATTTATTATAACATTTTGAAAATGCCTATTTTGAGTGGACACAGAAACATGCTGTTTTTCGGGACTGTTTCTTTAAATGCAAATGAGCTGC